ATATATATATATATATTTATATATATATATATATATATATATATATATATATATATATATATATATATATATATATATATATATATATATATCTATCTTAGTAAGAGTTATCATAGAACTAATAAATGTATATTTTACTTTTACAAAGTTTCTTTTCAGTCGTATGAATTCGTAGATAAACATGAAAACGCGCCATATTTAAGTAAAGCTGCACTTGCGCATTGCACCGTTTTTGGCTTTAAAACCCGTTCTCCATTCAAAACCTTTTGCGCGGAAAAGATCTTTGAGCATGCGCAAAAAGTTCCGAGCTTAAAAAAAACTGTTTGCGCATACTCAAAGAGCTTTTCCGCTTCTCCAAAGCGCAAAAAGTTCTGAATGGAGAACGGGCTTTAAGGTCCCGTAAAACACAAAATGAAATAATAGAAAAAAACCTAGTAAAACGTTTTTGAGCTTTTTATGAACATTTTACTGATACATACGTCCTTTAAGCAACCATAAAACGTTTACAAAATGTTTGAAAAACGTACTTGTGCATACTGGGTTAGTTTTACAAAATGTTTGAAAAACGTACTTGTGCATACAACAGGTTCCCCTACTGGTTAAAACAGTAGGGAAACCTGTTGTACCTAGGACAGTTTTTCAGATATATATTTTTTATTGCGATTTAACGCACAGCACGCAAATGATAATTGCATATTTTAAAAGGTCAATTACTTGGGTACTCACCACCAAAATATCAGAAATGTATATTTCATACTTAATACTTAGATTTTAAAGTTAAAAAAAATGGTAATTAAGGCCAAGGTACAACATACTCTATGTACCTTGGCCAGTACTATGGTGTACCTAGGACACATTGAGAATTTGGAGTAAATTTAAGTAAGTTATTAACTTTTCTTAACCCAAATCGTTTTATTCGGTCTATTACATTATTTATCAAAACATCTTCAAAAATCTGAACAATATCAAAATAATATTCAACATTTTTTTTGCTTTTTAAACAAAATCTTTAAACAAAAACATCAAACGTTTAACTACTATTTTGTTACATCACAAACTTTAAAATTAGTAGATTTAAACATATCACATTATATATATATATATATATATATATATATATATATATATATATATATATATATATATATATATATATATATATATATATATATATATATATATATATATATATATATATATATATATATATATATATATATATATATATATATATATATGTTTAATGAAACAATTCTATATTACAAAACATTGAAAGTTAAATATCTAAACAACTTTATAAATTATCATTTCTCTCTTAACATTTTATTCGGTGATTGGCTTTTATAAGAATACTATTAACATGAAGATATATTATTCATTTAGTAGAAATCCCAGTACTTTTGTATCTACAAAAGTACTGGGATTTAATATAATAAATTTCTCTGTTCTTGTTAACTTTTTGCGGGGTTTGAATTTTTTCTATAATGTCACTTATTGGACACAGATTCAATTCCTCTTTTTCAGGCCATTTCCAGTTTTTAAGTGATTTTTGCATTGATTTCAGTAATATACCTTCTTTAGATATTGATTCTACCTTTCCGACAAAATAGGAACCTTCATATAAAAATATAACATAGTCTCCAATATTGTAATTTTCTCTATTAACATGTTCAACCTGTAGGTTCTCATCATCTTTGTTATTGTCGGAGGCACCTTCAAATGTTTCACTCGTTATATAGCTGTTAGAATCTTCACTAGGTTCTGGATCAGGTAGAATTGTTCTTTCTCTCTTTTTTGAATTATTGAGTCTTTTTTTATTTATTAACCTATTTGAAACATTTTTTTTAGCTTTTATATTTTCAATTCCTTTCTTTTCTGGTGTATCGGTCAAAATTCTGGATCTTCCTTTTTGTCTTCCTTTTCGTGTTTCTTTACGAGGCTTTTGGGTAAGGGTGTATTATACTTGGCAATATAAAAGTTGGCAATTCTCTGTGTATATTTTTGGAACCTGAAGCAGTCAGCTGACTAACAGACACCTGATCAATTTTGGTGGGTGATTTTCCAGTAAGTGGACGATCAGAATAGGATGCGGGCATAAAATCAGCATCTATGTATGCTGATTTTATGCCCGTAATTGAGTAATTCTTATCGTTTTGCTAATCAAAGGAATCGCACCATTTTCAAAAAATGCCATTATAAAACCTTTTAATGTTATTATTGACGTGGTATTGAAGCCAATCTAAATTCAGATCACTCACTAAGTAGATAAACTTATTTTCGTGGTTACTTTTTTTAATAACGTTATTACATAAAAACGAATTAAAATTTTTAATTTCACCTGAAGGTGGGCGATAACAAAAACTTAAAATTTTGTTTTTCATTTTATTGGTTAAAATTTCAATCATTAAAACCTCTTTATCATCATCAGAGATGCTCATGGCATGCCGGGTAAAATATCGTAAGTTATTTTTAACATAAATAAGAACGCCTCCGCCACGCTTATTTGTTTTTAGTGCTAATGAAATTACATTAAAACCCGGCAGTTTAAAGTTGGTAAAAAAATTTACGTCATCCGAACTGCACCATGTTTTTGTTAAGCAAATTATATTAAATAGATTACAAGTTTCTTCAATAAAATTACTAAAGATTTCAAAATTTTTTTATAGACTGCGGATATTAATGTGAATTGTGTTAATATTATTTCGATCAAGAAATCCTTTAATTTCATGGGTATAAAAGTAGTTGCATTTATTTTGCAAAACATCAGAATTAGTAAAATAATTAAGATCAGGATTAGATTCATCGTCTAATAAGAAATCATTTTTTTGAAAAAAGGTTATAAAAACTAGACTCAAAATTTAAGGTTTCGTTAGAATCCATTTTATTTTTGTTTTTTTCATAATCGAAATGAGATCAAATAATTTCTTTTATAAAACCCGTGTGATTGATTTCTTATAGATAACTTTAGCGTACTTACCCTTTGCCCTTAAATCTTTTGCCTCATTCAGGAGTTTTTTTCGCAATTCCACTGTATGATCTATCGTATGATCACTATAATCTTCATTTATGTAAACCTTTAGAGTCCACAATTTCATCGTTGTGTATTTTCTTAATATCGTGGCTTTGTCTTTGTAGTTAAGAAATCTGACTACGATCGATCTATTTTTTTTATTGTTTTCAAGTAGTTTCTTTCCAACTCGATGTGCTCTTTCAATTTTAAATTTTCCGTGTAACTGAAGTTTTTTTATTTAAAAACTCCCTTACTTTATTTTCACTGTCCTCCCAGCTTTCATTTTCAACTTCTTCAATCCCACAGAATCTGAAGTTGTCGAATTGTTCTTCAATCCCACAGAATCTGAAGAATCGTCGACTTCTGTCTTCAAGTTCAGCCAATTTGTTAATCATGTTAGTATTTGCCTATTCATTTATCAATGATGTTTGTGATGTTTGACGATCAGCAACTATTTTATCATAATTATTACTCACAAATTTAACAGCTTTATTAAGTTTGCTTAATTCCTTTTTTAGTTCCTTATTCTCGTCAATTACTGAGTTTAATTTGCTTTCAAGCTTTTTAATTCTATCATTAAACATCTTCATGTTAGTATTTTCATGAATTTCCAAATTATCTTTTAATTGTGCAGATGTAAAATTTTTAGTAGCCATTTTGAAATTTTTTTTGATAACTAATAAGTAAATCAAAAAAAAAAACGTCCGTTCGCAGTGAATGTTCGCGGTGAATGTGAATATATAAGTTCTGTATATTTATGTAAATATTTATATAATTTCACTTCTTTTTCTTTAGTTGTCTAACTAAAAGATAGCTGTTAAGACATACCAAAATATTTAAAATGCAGAGGTTTCTATTTCTTGTAAAAAAGTTAGTAAATTTATGCACAAGCTTTAAAAAACAATTGTGACGTAAGAACCTGACTTAAAAAAATGACCTGATAATGATATCACCTTGGCTGATAATGACCTTACTTGGTTTTAGAAAATTTTTTGGTTTTAGAAAAGTAATTCGTAAACCTATTTTGCAGAATAAATAAATAAAAAAGTATTTCAACTTTGAAGCTTCATTTCACTTACATATCAAACAAATATTAATGACTCATTTATCATCTAGAAATTCAAAATCTAAAAGTCAAAGTCCAATAATAACTTCTAAAAAGTCAAAATCCAGCAATAACAACAAATTTAGTTAGAAAAGTCACTCCGTAAAATGTACTGAATATGACACTAATAAAGTTCTTATCAACTCTTAAGAAGAAATAAAACTGAAGAACAAAATTGAAAAAATTCGAAATTCAAACACAAATTTCTTTCTGTTTTTCATTAAAAAACATTAAAAAGAAATTTGTTTAAATAGATGTTGATGTATTAGGCCGGTTGAATAAAAATGAGCTATTTCTTTTACTCAGTATTTGGTCAGCTTTGCGTGAGTAAAAACTTAAGCAGTTTTGCTCAAATTTTTATTCACGTAATGTAAAGCAATTTACTTAGTAATTGTTCAGCTTTACTTAAATAAAAACTTGTTCAGCTATACCAAATTTGCTTAAGTTTTTATTCACGTAAAGCTGACCATTTACTACGTAAAAGCTATTGATTATTTTTATACTAACTAAAATGTAGTAAAACAGAATAGATCAAAAAAAATCTTCAAGTAAAGTGAATCTGTTGTGAAAAAAAAATTTTTTATTTTGTTGTAAAAGGTAATAAATATACATTATCATTCGTTCACCGCAATCTTTTCTTTTTATTGATCCTTAAAATATTAATATAAAATATAAAAAAATAAATCAAATATTTATTAAAAATATAAACGTAGCTAAAACATTTATTATTTTATTTAATTAAAAACCGTAGTGAAAAAATTACACGGAAAGTTATCAAATAAGAGAATACTTAATAACAGTTAAAATTTACTTTTATCTTTTATCAATATTGTTTTTAAAAGAGTTTATCGTCTTCACATTAACAGTTTCATGATTTAAATTGTTCCAATTGTTACAAACTCGATTTAAGTTATGTCTTGCACGGTCGTTTGTAAAAGGAAAGTTATTATACGCATGCGCAGTGGAATTACATTTCTTGAAGGTTTTTTAAAATGGCTACGGTAACAAGATTATAGAAACTTATCATTGACAACGAGTAATTTGTTTAATTTTAGATAATTAAATAGGTTTTTAACTAGTTTTTTCATGAAATTATTTTGAAAATAGCTTGCAGCTGTACGAAGAAATTTAAAAAATAAAATACAAGATCTCTGAATCTAAATAATATCTACTTTCAGCTAAAGCAACTTTAGTTTTTTTGTTTACAATTTTTAAACCTTTTTTAAAATATTTTTGAGCGTAGAAATTTTTTAATTTAAATTTATTCAGCAAGATGAACCTTTTATCTATTTTGTATTTTTTGCTTATATGAGGATTCAATTTTTTTTGCAGGGTTAAAAGAAAATCTTAATCATTAAACTTGTGTAACCTGTTGCTATGGTGCTCTTTTCCGATGTGGCTATATATATATATATATATATATATATATATATATATATATATATATATATATATATATATATATATATATATATATATATATATATATATATATATATATATATATATATATATATATATATATATATATATATATATATATATATATATATATATATATATATATATATATATATATATATATATATATATATAATATAAACACTTATCTATTTTTTTGATAAACCTTCTAAAGGAGTTGAACAGACTGTCAAAGAGTGCTCAATATTCTTAAAGAAGAGAGCATAGTATTGTTATATGTTAGTAACATAATATTGTTATATGTTGGTAACATTATATATATATATATATATATATATATATATATATATATATATATATATATATATATATACACATTAGGGCCCTGCAAATCGACATTTTTTGTTTCAAATTGAATCTCAAAGCAGGTCTTGATTTGCGAATCGAATCACAAATCGAATCAGCTATTTGTGGAAAACCAAGTTTAGGCTTTTTTTTTTTCCAAAAAGATAAAAATATTTCTTTGAAAAAATTCTTTTTGCTCGGATTATATTTTTGGCGTTTGTTTTAAAGTGATGTTAGAACTATTTTCAATTACTCTTTCTCCCCCCGGTTTCAATTACATTTTAGCTTTAGAAATCTAAAAAGCAATATTCGCAAAATAATTCGCAAAAATATGATTTGAAAAAACTTGAATCTTTTTTTTTCGACTCGAATTGAAGCGACACTTGATTCACGAATTGAAGCAATTCACAAGACCCTAATATATATATATATATATATATATATATATATATATATATATATATATATATATATATATATATATATATATATATATATATATATATATATATATATATAGTCAATAACCTCAAATAAATTAACTGTATTGCCTGCATCAAAGCAATACCATTATGTTTTTGATTTTATCGATTGAATGCTATCATTTTGATTCTATCGATTGAATCATCAGTCTGGTTTTGTACATATTGATTCAAAATTAATAAATTATGATAAAAATTGATTTAAAACAAACAAATATTATAGTATATATTTTTTTAGTATTCCAACCATATTCGCGTTTCAACAAAGAAACTTACCTGTTGTAAAGAAGGGAAAAGTAAACTAAAGCAGAAAGACTTTTTCTTGGAACTCGATATAAATATTTTTTGTGTTTCGTGTTTAAATTTTTTTTTTTAATGTTTACAGCTTGAGATTGTTAAAATCAATATGAATATATTTAAAATATTTTTTACTTAAAGATTGAAAGAATGAAAAATGTTTTTAATGCATAAAAGATATATTTTCATTTGAATTATATTTTGATCTTTTATTTTGTGTTGATTGATATTTATTTGATGCATAAAATAAATTTATATTTTTTAAATTATACTAATGTTGCTTTTTCTTCTGTTTGTCTCTATTGCATTATTACGAATATTACAAACTTTATATAGCTTTATATCTAAAAATTAAATAATTTATCAAAGTTATGCTTTAAGTTCAAAACTTGTTTGTGTTTTTATTTATAATATTTATAGTTTTTTATTTATATTATTTTTTATTTATTTTATATATTTTATATTTATATTATATTATATTTTATATTATTTTATATATTAATTTTTATTTATATTATTTATAATATAAAAATTGACATTTAAAAGAAAATGCGAGTAATATACAGAAAAGTGACCTTTAAAAGTTAAAATGAATAAATTTATTTAATGTGATAAAAGCATATTAATTAAATATATATATATATATCAACTTAGTTTCTCCACGTAGTGGCCTTGCTTTTCAAGGTTCGTGTTTCGGAGTTAAAGAGTTGAGAGAGGGTTGTCTCCTTGACTGTAGTAACCCCATCGGCCTTGGGAAGGTGAACAATGTAAAAATGTTTATTTATTTGAGGCAGTGGCCTTATTCTTCACAAAAATATTAATTAACAAATTATATTCAGATTATATAATAATGTAAACTGGGGTCTAATTTTACTTTGTAACATTTATAACATAAAGAAAGAAACGTTCAAACCTTTTTTGAGTGGCGTTCAAAAAAATGTCTTTGACCCACTACATGGGGTGATTTGAGCCCTTGTTAATGTCAGTGAAAATGACAATTGTAAATATCTGAAAGTTATAGGGTAGTTTGATTGTTGTAATGATAGAAATAAGATTTTGCAAAATCCGCATAAATGTTGATGTATTAAATTAGTATAAAATTGAACTTTTATTTATGCCTAGAAACTAAATCATGGAAGCAGAAAGCATGTTAGAATAGGTTTATTATATGTACTTTAGAACAGATATAACGCATTAAAAGTCTTAAAAGTGGTTTATTACAAGCCTAAAAATACCAGATCAACTAAAGATATCTTTAGTAATCTTATTAATAAGATAAGATTAAATGCGAGGACTATTCTTCGCCCTATTTATAACCCAACTTTAAAGATGAAATTAAGAGGGAAAATACGCTAATCTTTGTTGCTGTCTTAGGCGACGCAAAGACTCTTGGAGGCCACTATTTATATATAAAATAAATTTTGATTGAGATTAACGGGAACTTTGAGAAAGTCACTATAAATATAAAAAAAATTAGAAATTATAAACAAAAACTATGGAAGCAGAAAACATGTTATTTGTATCTGTCCTGGATTAAAGGGGGGAGCTATAGACCCAATCTCCGCAATTTTAGGTGCCCCGAAATTTGTAAATAAATAAGAGGACCTTTTTTAAATTATTATAAGGCTGTGTGGTGCATTATAAGGCTGTGTGGGGCATTATAAGGCTGTGGTGCTTATAAAAAGACTCCAATCTCGGTAGCTGTATCAGGCGAAGCAAAAGCTAAACAACAGAAAATAATAGCGAAAGGTACGATTTGGGTTATTGATTCAGAGACAGTACCGACACAAGCTTCATCTTTTCTAAAAATTCCATTCAAAACAAGCATGCAGTGCTGGATTAAGGGTTGGCTGTAAACCTGAAATTTTTAAAAGGACCCCCTTTTTTTGTAAAAGTCGATTTTAGGCTGTGGCTCATAAAAAATGCCTCCAAAAAAAAGAAGCCCTGGGTCCCGAAAAGTCTTAATCCGCTAGTATAGATGTGTTCTCTGTGTAATACACACTGTATATTCGGTAAAAACAAATATGGAAAAAGGAAAGAAACATATTATTACACTGGTTATTTTTCAATGCGATTCTCATATTTTTAATATTTTACATATTATGTGTTAAACAAAAAAATGGAAAAACTTATTTAGAGAAATATTATAACACGATCTGAAATAAAACGTGCCTTTTTGGCTTGTTTTCAAAAACTGGTAACTTAACTTTAGCTCTTAAAACAATTTTAATATTATCTTGTGTTACTTTTTATTTAAATAGATAAAGTTTATTCCATCAGAACATCACAAAAATTTACAATCATTTAAACTCTCCCACAGTAAACAGTAACAGCTTTTCTCGCATTCGACGATGTTAGCGGTTTAGATGTAACAAAAAACTAATATTCAACTATTCTTGGAACTACACTGTCTTTTGTTAGTTTAAAAACATCTGATATGTTGGTTTTAGATAAATACGGTTTTAAATAAGTTGTTGGTGACACTGCTAATGCTGACAATGGCAATGTTAATGGCAAAAATGTGGCCTTTTTAGAACATATGTCATTATGATTT